GTAGTGGTAGTACTAGTAGTAGTAGCAACGGCAGCAGCAGCACGATGATCGTCCTCGTCCGGATGCAATCACAATGCATTTTCGCTTTGGGGAAGACGTCTTGGTTTAGAAGATAGCTATCTCAGACCCGAGAATCAAGAGAGATTCTTTGTCGCAGCGTTCAGGTGAGATCAACAGCTACCTTGCCCTTAGCAAGTGTCTGGGTCCTTGTTGGATACAATTTTGCGTGTTTTGTCAGAATAAAACCCGACAGGTGGTCATGTTTTAAATATAGCCCCAACTCGGAACCAGGTTTGGGGAGGAGGCTTTTCAATTGCCATCCTTCCAGCCGGGTGTCTTGCTGTCGGTCTTGTGCATCCTGCTCTGGAACATCTGCGTCTTCAGGGAGTTGCGGAGCATCTGGTACCCGAGCCCTAAATAACTTAATTCTTTAGTACTCATTATTAGATTTTTCTTGTATGAGCCCTTCAAAAAGGGTAGAAAAGGTTACAGTAGGTTCGGTCGGGTGCAGGTATGTCCTGAAGGGCATTTTGTTGGGCAGCGCGTGGTCCAAAGCACGGCTTTCTCGATCCAATTCTGTGCAAGAGCTCTGGCAGCTGTCTTGGCAGCGAGGTCCATGGGGACCCGTAGGGGGGATGTTTCGCGAGTTTAGGGTTTTTAGGAGTTATGGGGTTTTGTAGGGGTGTATAGGGGTTTAGGGGTTTAGGCCTTGAGGTCTTGTGATGTCCTGTGTATGCCTTGGCCGCATCTGCGTGGCCTGTGCCTTGCTGATCTCGGGTTGTATCTGGGCTTTGGAGTACCATACTTTAATACCTTTTTTTTGGCACCTGTTCCTTAAAGGAACCATTATAAGATAAAAGTCTATACTTTTTTCCCCCTGGTTACTTCAAAGCCCAGGTATTTGGTTGGGACGCACCACCTCGATTACGGAGCTGATGCTCAACTCCGTGGCCTTGGAATCCGTCTCTGGGTCCGTGTTGGATACAATTTTACATTTTTGTTATAATAAAACCCAATAAGGATTAAAAATGATCATTTTTAATATAGCCCCAACAGGGAACAAGGTCTTGCATGTGGACGAGTTCATCTTCTCGGCTTTGGTGCCCACGAACCTGCAGCAGAAGATCCAAACACTGCAGCCCGTGAAGATCAAGAAAAGCCGTCGCTGTCCGAGCTTGGAGAACGTGGTGCTCTTCTCGGCGCTCTCGGCTGCTCTGCTCCTTCCTTACCTCCTCATCCTGGCCCCGTTGAAAGAGACCATGCTTCAGGCAGGGCTCTCTTGGTTTTAGGGATTTAGGGGCCTGTTTCTCTTCCTTTAGCCGCGACCTACAGTACATCATAGGGTTGCCTTATGTATTACATGGTAACTTAAAGTATGAGGTCCGAAACAAGAACCCAGCAGGTGAAGTACGAACTCTGCGGAGGGGAACAGCGGTTTGCCATGGGCTTTAAGGACGGCATCGTGCGGGAATTCGTCACCCAGCCCGCCGAAAGCAACATCACGGCAAACAGATACATCGAGAGGGCAGTGCAGGAAAAGGCATTCCCGGAAGATTTTGCCCTAAAGCTTGCCGTTCCGGTTCTGGAGCCGGATATCTCTCGCATGCGCTCGATGATGAACCAAGAGTACGTCGATTGGAAAAGGGAATCTGCGGATTCTGGGTTTTACTCAGGAATTACTTTCCGTTGTTTTGAAATAATCACAAGCCCAAGTGGCCACAAACATGCTAGTTTTGCGTTGGGTCAATCAAAGAGTCTTTTGCCTAAATGCGAAACCCAAAACTTTGCAAACCTTAACCCCCAAAGCCCTACAGACGAAAAGCCCGAAAAGCAAGAAAAGCCCTGTGAGCCCTAAACCTACAGAAAGGAGCTCAAAACGAACAGACCCCATAAGCCCGATATAAGCCCTTACACCCTAAACCCTAAACCCTACACCCTAAACCCTAAACCCTAAACCCTCAACCCTAAACCCTACACCCCTAAACCCTGTAGGATTGCCCCGCTGACAGCAATGGGAGCTCAATGGCCGATTTCCTTGCAGCTGCAGCCTTCGAGGTCAAGGGTTCAGGGTTCAGGGTTTAGGGTTTAGAGTTTAGGGTTTAGGGTTCAGGGTTCAGGGCTTTGGGTTTAGGGTTTAGGGATCAGGGTTTAGGGCTTAAAGCTTCTATTGGGGTTCTACGGTACAAGTTCTAGAAGGGGTTGGTGTAAGGGTGTCTTTGAGGGTTCTTTTTAGGGACCGGGGGTTCATGTAATGGTTCCTGTTAGGGTACCTCTGCAGGTGAACTGAAACTTAAATAAATGCCAATACTATTCCCCAGGAATCCTCCGTATAGTTACAGCAAACTAACCCAAACCTTGTTCGAATCTACATCTTGCTGTTGGGCGTGAAAAGCGCAGCAACATGGGAACAGCTAAAGGCAGAGAAATGCAAGCCTCAGTAATGTGGAGGATTGGTAATACCGTAGCAACCGTTTAACTGTTATGCTGATGGTTTCCATTATCTGCGGTGGAGGCTTGACAGCCGCTCGCCGCTCGCCTGGCACTTGAAGAACTCACATGCAAACGGCTTTGCACCGCCAGAAAGAGGCGGTGACCCCTCAACATCGCAGCCGAAGCAGAATGCGAGAAAACCTGAAAACTCAGCGCCTGCACGCTAAGCTACCAACAAACCTAGGCCCAGGAGCAGAAAGCTACAAGCAGGTGGTGTGCACGCGGGGTGTACAATCTGAGCCTTTCAAGCCCATGCAAGGGACGTTATCCCAGGAAGGTACACATCCATCCATTCAAAAGGTATTCTGGATACACATGGTGGAAGAGCTTGCCTGCGACTAAAGGAATGCAGCACTCGCAACTGAAAGTTGTCTGAGATGTCTGAGTCATGTCAGACACGGTAGCATACCTAAGGCAGCCAGGAGACTAAGCCGTAACTGCCAGGACCGTCAGATCCATGCAGTGACGGCGCTTTCAACGACAGGGCACACGCGAAACTGAAACAATTATCCGACATAAACACTACAAGTTGTATGCACAGAAGTTCAGGGGCGGTCGTGAAATCCCGCACCCCACAGTAATCCGCTCTGGCTAACCTGTTCTGGAAATGCCAGTCGGAAAGACGGAGTCGGGGTGCTGGGACACAGAGTCGTTGCCCGTAGTACTGTATTGGCCCATCCTCCGTGGTGCCCAAGTTCTCCACAAAGATGCCGTGGATGCCGGCTGCACCGAAGATGCAGGACCACAGCGCAGCATACATGAAGCTCAAGGTGTACATGACCACCTGCTTGGACTTGCTTGCTGGTGCATCCGCGGGAGATGCGCGCCATGCAAGTCCCGAGGAAAGGGGTCCCCGGCAATCAACCAGCCCCGGTAGAAGAAGATCCACCAGTCCACGCAGTAAGGGTTGGCACCCTTGCCGTCGTTCGGCCGCCGATTTCCCAGTGGTAACCGACCGACGACGATCATGTTGAAGATGTGCCACGGCCACCGCACAACCATCATCACCAGGTTGCCGCGAAGATGCGGCAAAAGACCGTCTTGTATCCGAACTCCAAGTTTGCCGCGGCAGAGAGCGTGTCGAGGACCGTGATGATGGCACTCGCCACCGCGAGCTCATCCTCGGTCAAAGTGGCGTCGAGCCGCCTTTCGGCAAACTCCATTCCCCGCAGGGCCATGCAAGGGAGATCTGGGCGTCACAATCTGCGCTAGTGCGGTGTTGAGCCCCTAATTTGCGAAAATATGGGTAACAATAGCAGCGACAGCTGTATTGGTAAACAAAATTTGACTGGTATTTGTGAACTAAAAACAGAAGAGAGTACCTTGCCCCTACAAGGTTGGCTACACCGGAAACAGAAGTTGCGAAGCTTTGAAGAGATACTGCAGCGATTCAGACAGTTTTGATATTGACACTTCTTCTAGATTGTATTCGACAGCAGCAACATGGCTGCGCTTCGCCTGCCCCAGAGCTTGCGGATGTGCCTCGCACTATATTGGTGCATTCTCTTTTTTTGATTGCGAAGCCGGAAGCAAGGCAAGGTTCATTTCTACTCTATAGCATTCTAGGCTTGGAAACAACCACGAAAGCACAACGGGGGGCATATCGTGGTATAGGATGGCACGCACTTGGAGGATCAGGGACTTAGTAACTAAGGATATAAGTGTTCTAATTGGGGGTATAAGTAGTTAGAGTTATAGTTATTTTTTACATCCATCGTTGCTGAGTTCCGTGATCCTCTAAGCAAGGTACGGATCCCAATTCTTCGCCGGTTTACAGGACTCCACGCCATGGCTGCCGCAGGTCTTGCATCCAGGAGAGGTGCCTGAACCCCAAATGACCGACCTTTTCAGGGTTCCTTATGAGAACGTTCTTCTGTACGTCGTTAACAAGATATATTTCTCTGGTGGGTGCAGGTATGGATTCTCCTAAACCCGAAACCTTAAACCTTCAAAAAGAAAGGAATTGGTTGGGGGGCTAAGGTATGGCTTCTCCATGTTTTCGGCGAGTCCTCTCTTCGGCCGGCTCCCAAGCTTCCCCGCGGCCTGCAAAGATACTCTTCCCGAACACAACGCTTGGCGCCACTTCTGGGGCAACGCTGCTTTTATGTCAGCCGCACATCTGAATTCTGCTATGCTTTACGAAAGTGCAATGCTCCGTTCACTTGTGGGAGCCGCAATGGAAGTGGGCTGCCCCGTTCTGACCGTCGCTCCCACCGACTTTGCTGGGAACCTCTTATGCAGAGGGACTGTCTATTCCCTGCCCTTGGCATGGTGGTGTCCGGAGACCTGTGGTTGCGCATCTTCTGGCAACGCCGAAAGAGACCGCTTCTGCTTTGGGTATGACTACTGTCCCATGCACGTACTGGAGACAGACACGACGGCGGCTTGGGAGTTCATCCGGAAGTACGATGTTTTGAGAGTGCTCATGAATCCGGAGGTCATTCCATATTCCTTGTAGTCGCTTGCAAGTGGGGGTTTCCGAAAATAAGGGACCCCTCATATAGTACCCTAGATAGTAGGATCCTTATTATAAGGACCCCCAAATAAGGTACCCCCTTATTTTCGGAAACTCCCAAGTCTCACAGGCTCTGAAGTTGACATGCAGCAGCAAAGCCGTGTCTGAGACACCTCTGCTGCTGTTGCGCAGTGCCGTTTTTCGCTCCCTGGCATAAATCGTCTCGGGACGCAATCAGGCGTGGTGAACTTTCTCGTATCGGGAAAGACAACACCCCCGGGAATCTCGAGGGATTTGAGATGAAGGAGCCCCGTACAACTACCATATCCCCATACTCCCTGGAGGCTAAGCCGTAAACCCTGCAAAACCAGTATGCTCGCAGATAGACGCCCACCCCCAAAAACCAAACAACCCTAAACCCCAAAACTGTAAACCGTAGATTCCATGAGGATGCCTGGACGTGCGCACGGGTTCGCAAAAAGTTGCTGACTGAGAGCACTGGGGCGTGCGTGCCTGGTTCTTCATCGGGGTTTAGGGTTTAGGGCTCAGGAGGTGGAAACATGCACTTAGACCCTATTGTAGGAACCTGGTGAGAATAACAGGGATTCAAGGTTTCTTAATCAGGCTCCTATACCCCTTATCTCTAAACCTTTAAAGGAGCCCGTGTAACCCCTTCAGGGGAACCTCCTAGTGGAATTTGGAACAATCTCCGCCCGCGGAGCTTGTTCCCTGGATTGAAACTTTGAAGACACGGTTTAGGGTTTAGGGTTTTAGGGTTTGGGGTTTAGGGTTTTAGGGTTTAGGGTTTCGGGTTTAGGGTTTAGGGTTTAGGGTCTAAACCTTATACCCCCAAGCCCTAACCCCAAAACCCTTATCCCCAAACCCTAAACGCTCAACCATATCCCTTAAATCCTCTGCTCCGAGGTCAGGTCCGCAGATGATGTTAGCTGATATGATCGGGGAACTCCCTTTGATTCTGACATAAATCCTGCATTACCACTACTACTGTTGATACGAAAAA